ACATGTGGAAGGGTGAAGTAAAATAATGTAGTAACTGAAATGGTGGTGCTAAACATTTAATGTTACGCAAAATGATTTGGCTTTAATAGAGGAAGAATTGTATGAGAGTCTCATTCTCAGTGTTTTTTGAGCATTACACACAATAGAGAGAAAATATTAGAGAGGCAGATAAAAATTAATGAGAGAATACTGATTTCTACTTAGTTTCTCCTATTACCAGAGGAATTTGCCATTGTTATCTCCTTGAATTTATATAGATGTTATAATTCTCCTACTATAATAGAATCATTCTATACTTGTTCAAAGTTTTTATCCCAAACTAAATTGGGAGTTTTCATGTAAAATCCTTGTGTTCCTTTTATCTCCATTTTTTCATAAATTTTACTTTAGCTGCATTCTAGCTGTCAAGTTCAATCTCCTAACAAAGTCAAACGAAAACACTTTTGAAGATCTGGTCAGCTGAATGAATTTGATTTTAATAAAAAAAAAGATGCAATTAAGTTCAGTAATTACTAAGCTGTTTATATTCTAGAAATAGTTAAAGGTCTGCAGATTCGTTGCTTTCTAACCTTGGTTCTAATTCTAGATGGAAGCAAAATTCTTCAGTCAATTTCATTGCTTCTGCTATAAAAAAATTAGGCAATATTACACAAAAATAAATAAATAAATAAAAATAAAAAACAGAAAAACAGATACCTAAATGAACCATACATAGATCAGGCAAAAAAAAAAAATTTTTTGATGATTTTGACATTGAGAAATTATAGGGCTACCTTTCCTGTGTGACCCTGTAAGGTCCGACAGCAAACCAGATCGGTCGGGCCAAAAGTCACCGGAGTTTTCCCTTGCGACCTAGCATATCCTGCAACTGAACAATTCAAAAAATAATTGAATGAACCAGCACCAACATTGACAGATCTGAAGCACACTCCAATTCAAACCAAATCATGACAGCTATAATTACGATAATTTTTTTGACATAATACCATCGGTGTCGAGAAGGAGCAGACGCTTCTGTTTCAATTTATCTCTGAGGGCATTGACGGTCTCAGTAGCGGCCATGTGCCGCTCTTTCAGCTCTGCAACTGACATCTTGTTTTCCATTAAACCTTATCCTTTCAGCTTCATTTGAACCCTAATTTTAATGACGAAAGACCCAAAAACCACAATTCACGATTAATTCACGTACAACTTAGGTTTTCGAATTCAACAACAAACAAAATAAGGGATTAAACGGGCGTATAGAGTATATGTGGGGAGAACGGGACGGATACGTTTTGGTGTGATTGAGGTGGTGGGTGCGAAGTGGTGACTTGGAATTGGTGTAGACGCAAGGTGGACTCTGTTGGGAGTCTAGAGAGAGAAAGACAGAGCCGCCGGGCCCACAATTTGCTGCCATTGCCTTCTCTCTAATATTAGGTGGAGTGGGATGCCGTTGATGTGGGTACCCATATCCAATAGTTGACAGCTTTAGGTAAAATCGTACCAAATTTTCATAACTATGTGATTTATGTACCCAACCTTTCATTTGTGATATTCATGTCCCATACCTTTTAACATTGTGCACATAGTATGTTTATCTAGGCGATTTCCGACAAAGGATGGAAATTGTCCGATAAAGATTTTCTTCAAATCCATGCAAATTGTTAGTTATACCACGTTATCGAATGTCTTTCTTATTTATTAGAACGATCCTAAATAAAATTACATGAGTAATCCTCTCATTTTCTCGTGTAAATGTTTAAGTTTTCAGGTAATACGCACGTGATGTGTCACTGAAGGGATGGAAATTGTCCAATAAAGATTTTCTTTATATCTACGCCACGAAATATTTGTTAATTACATCAGTATTGAATATTCGTTTTTTCTTATTTATTAGAATGGTCACAGATGAAACGACATGTAGATAAAAGTCATAATTATTTTATATAAAAGTTGAGAATGTGATTGTCATACTTATAAAAAGTTGGATACCGGTAGAGAAATTTAGCCACGGCTTTATATTTACCTTTGTGAATGTATTTTTATTTTAATATTTATACTTTTGAAATACTCTTATATGAGATTTTTCTTTATTAAAATTCGGCACGTGAAAAAGGTGCATTTACTTTGTTGTCGACTTCGTCTTACTAGATACAAATTAAAGTGTACTAGAAAAGAATGAATCGGGGCATGAACAACAATCCCAAATTAATTTTTTTAAATATTAATAATATAATTAAAAATAAATAAAGTAAATGTTTTTAATAAATTTGTTAAATAATTATTTTTAATTATGTCACTGAAATAGAGGAAGAAAGAAGGGTAAGATGATAAGAGACCGGGAATGGAATTTTAGTTAATGGATAAGCAATAAGGACTCTTTGATTGGAGAAAGGTCAAATGCCAATAAATGCGCTAATAATCTAATTTTAAAATTAATTTAAAACCTTCTTCTCATTGACATGGAAATGATTTCGTACGAAAGCAGATCAAACTCGTTGAAAATAAAACAATATTTTAATTTTAGTGCAATTATTGGAGAATGGGCATTAATTAAAAGACCAAAATCAGTTTTTCCACAAAAGAGTTCCATTGCCGGGAATCGAACCCGGGTCTCCTGGGTGAAAGCCAGATATCCTAACCGCTGGACGACAATGGATTGTTGATACGACAATGGATTGTTGATACAAAGTTAATTGTATTAAAATAATAAAGTTATTGTCTGTTCATTTTCCAGAAAATACAGTTTTTTATCAACTTCGAACAATTAAAGTATAAAACTATAAATACAATAATGAAAAAAGTAGAACTTGTGATAAACTTGAAAATACATTCAAAATCAGTTTTATTACAACTTTCGAGTGGACTCTAAGTGAGTTGGGCTCAAGTGATTTTAAGCAATTCATAATTGATACACAATTTCTCCAAATTTAGAATGTCACAAGACATCTTCGACTATTGTATGCTATTGAATAATCTTATTAATAATAGCCTTATTAGCAGCTGTATGTTATCCATGACTATGTTTAATCATTAAAAAAATAAATAAAGTAAAAAAAAAAACACTTTTGACATTAGGGGAGATAATGGCAACATAATAGTGAGGTATATGACAATGTGTCGAAAGATTTTAAACTCGAGCTGACTTGAACGCGTAAAAGGCACGAACCATATTATCGGTCAGCACCCTCAATAGCTGGAACTCAATTGGGTTAGGCTTCAAACGGCACGAACCACATGGGCTGTATTGAAAAGATATAAGGGAACAATACATAAATCAGGTTTTTAAGTACACCATTTCAAAATTAAGGATAGAAGTTTTAAATTTCAAAAATAGGTTTTTATTTAAATTTATTTATTTATGAATTAATTAATTCTATGTTTTATTAATAAATATATAGCGGTCACGGATCTATACAATTTGGTCATAATTCAAAAATTTTAAGGTCACAAATCAAAACATTTATGCCCTGTTTGACACTAATTCTCATTCTCATTTTTTTTCTCCTTCATTTCAACCATACATTTTCCAAATAAAATAATATTACACACAAATCTAAAACTTTTCATTACTTTCAACCATACAATCTTTCATCAATCACTATTCCAGAATTCATTTTTTCTCTAAAATGGGTGGCAAACACAAGCTTATACGTTATAGTTCATTCAACGATCACAAATCACAAAATTTATAAGACACAATTTATGTTATGGTCACAAAACATCAAATTATAGGTCACATATTACTTTTATCACAAATTAATAAATTTGTAGATCACATAATATTTATTGATCACAATTTATTCTTTATTAGTCACACACCAACCAATTTATTGGTCACAATCAACAAATGATTTGTGATCACCATCAACACAGCACCACCGTCGCCGCGCCAACACCAACACCAACACCAACACCACCAACTCCATAGAAAGCACCACCGCCGTCAACACCAACACCACCACCACTACACCAAACCTTCAACATTACCACCACCACCCAAAAACCACTAAGACCACCGGACCACCACACCACCACTACCACCAACACCCATCCAACAACAGGAAAAAAAAAATCATCAGAACTACAGATCGCCCATCAGAACCACTACCACCAACACCCATCCGCCGTTCATAGCTTCATCGCCCCT